CGCCTCGCAGCGAGTTCCTGCCCCAGGTGACGGACGGCTCCCCTGTGACCGCGGAGCGTGAGGCGAGCGTGGGCGCGCTGCCAGGAGCAGCTGGCGTTGCTCCGCCAACGCCGGTCTCGGAACTGAGATGGCGGCGGCGGCCCCGCCGCCCGTGCAGGGTCTCGGGATCGGGGCCGGGGATTTCGGGGGGGTTCAGTATAACGTACCTGGAGCGCCCCTGTTTCACGAACGACTGGTGCTGATCGAGCCGGACGCTGGGACGAATGTGAGCGCGCTGACCCCAGACGGGCATAACTGCGACGAGGACTGGGTGCAGGGTCCCGACATCATATGGTTCGGCTTGCAGGCAGGCGGCGCATGTGGCGGCGCTCCTCCGCCGGGACCAGGCGCCCGCTGTGTCCCAGGCAGAGAGATAGCGGCTGCTCGTCGTGGGTTCGCAGCGCCGGCGGATGGCAAGCAACCCAATCTGGAAAGTCGCTCTCGGAGTCGGCGGAGGAGTTGGCGCGCTGGCTGCGGCCTTGGGGCCCGCGCCCAGCCTCCCGGGCGGTGCTGGGGGCCCAGAGGTGGTGGCGGCCAAGAAAGCAAAGGCGTCAAGTGTGCGGGAGTGGAGAAACGGGCTTGCGGATAGCGGATTGGAAGAGGGGCAGCGTAGCGTCGTTGAAAGGGTGGCAGATCGAGTGTTGGCGCAAGAATTCGCGCGCTCCGCGAACGGCAAGAGAACGGGCCAGAGTCGTTCTGATATGGGGGCCCTCGCGTGGATGTCACGCGGTGGCCCAGGGGCATGGGGGGGGTCGTGTTCGACAGACTCCGGAAAGAGTTGTTCGAGAAAGTGCTGGGGTGGGCACGCGGCGTTGATTTCCAGATAGCAGCTTTGCAGGCTACAGACGCAGCAGCGCTCGACGGGAATCAAATCCACTTGGAATTTGGGATTGGTGCGAACGAAACGACAGAGCCGAATGCGGGGGTCGATGCCAGCGCAGAAACGACACAGAAGACGAAGTCAAGGTGTAAGTGGCTGATAGTAGACGAAGTGAGCATGGTCAGCGCGAATTTCTTGCAGAGCTCGACTCGCACTTGCGGTCGTGCATGTCAGCTGCAAGTGACGCGAAGGTCGGGGGGGGGGGCGTGTCCAGGCCCTTCGGAGGCCTGAATGCGTTGTTTTGCTTGGATTTCTATCAACTGGAACCCCCGTCGGGGACGGCCATTAATGCGCCCCCCGCGTCGCATTTGAAAATCGCGAGGAAATGCGCGCCGGGCGCCGCGGAGGACCGCGGGCAGTGTATCTTTTGGAGCGCTGGAGGCGAAGGGGTAGTGCAGGGAATGACGGAGTTAACGGAGTGCAAGCGCGTGGGGGGCCAGGGCGACTGGTTCCTTGCAGTGCAGGAAAAATTTCGACGAGGAGAGTTGCCTTAACGCGCGCGCAATTTTCTGCATGGAAGTCCGACGGATGTCCCGGGGTCGCGGGTGAACGGCCCCCCGTTGCGCGAGATCGCGCGTTGACGAATGGGCGCAGAGGCAATTGCGAAGCAAAGCGGGCTAGAGTGCGAGGAATGCAATATTGAGCGGGAGAAGAGGAAGCTCGTCGCGACGTCGCTTGAAGACGCGCGGCTGCGAGAGGAAAATTCCTTGAAGCCGTCGCCACTTATGCGAATCAGAGCATTGGTTGCCACGGTGGGAAACAGAGAGCTGCGCAGTGGGCCAGGGAGCGAGGATAACAACTGCTCTGGGTAGCAGCCAGATGCCGCCCTTGCCATGGTGGTGAACAGCGGCTGCCGTGCACGGTAAAGGATAAAATGCGGTGGCTGGGGCACCGCGACAAAGAGTGCGCGAGCTTGCCTGAGTGGCTGCCGCTGGCGAAGGGTGTGCCCGTGGTTTTGGGGGGTCACTTGGATAGGTCGAAGAAGCAGCTTCTGCGGGGGCGCACGGCGACGACCCATGGACGGGCGCTGCGCGAGGACGAGGTCGCGGGAAATGAGGATGAGGAAGGCTTGTTGCATCTGCCGAGAGCGATTGCCTTGGACTTCCACGCGCAGGAGTGGCACTTGCCAGGCTGGATGGGGAGGTCTGTATCCCATCTCCCCAGCGAAAGGGCGGAAGTGGTTCTTGGACGGATATCGGAAGCATCCAGTATTAAGTATGAAACGGACCCAGTTGATGATGACCCTGGCTATGGCAGTGACGGAGCACTCAGCGCAGGGCCGGGCCATGGGGGAGTGATGGCGGACTTTGGAAGAGGGCGCGGCGCGAGTTGCACGTCAAGTTACGTTGCCATCGCGCGCGGGCGCAGGCAAGAGAACTTGCTGATATTCCGGCCTCTTGATAGGGCGCCGCACAGCGCGGATGAGATGGCGGGCGCGAAACAAATGTCGCAGTTGCAGGTGCTACGAGGGGAGAGCGTGGATTGGGATGAGTGGTAGGCGGAACCGATGCCGCGAGACCAGCGCGAGCGCTGCCGGCGGAGGTTGCTAGTAGAGGCGTTCACGAGGCACGAGTTCCAAACGAAAGAGAGGCCGGCGTTTTGCAAAGAGCGCACGGAAGAGATGAACAACGCGAAGGAGAACTGGTGCACAACGTGCGACGGGTGGGCAACGAGAGCGGAGGGTGACGACGCGACGCGGCACGGTATTGGTCGGAGTGCGGATGCAGCGGCCGGCGACGGGGGGCCAAAAAGGATTCGGACAATGTACTGCGCGAAGTGCAGCCATGTCAAAGCCAAACAGAAGTCGCGGAGCGGCAACGCAAGGTGGAACGAGAGCGTCGGCAAAGCGCGATGCACGAGCGACAAGCGCCCGTCGCCGCGCGGCGAAAAGGCGGATATGTCGGAAGCTCAGAAGGAGCACAACGCAGCGGGGCAGAGATTGTGTCGGAAGTGCGCGGAGGATTGGGAGAAGGCCGCGCTGCGGACGAATTGCGAAGTAGAGAATCGAAATCGGAAAGCAGAGGCAGAAGCGGAGCCGCTGACGTGCTGCGCTCTCGGTTGCAGGGTGCCCTTCTGGGAGGTCGGCCATTTGACCCGCCGCCGAGTGGAACGCCACCGGAAGACGGAAGGTGCAAGAGTGGTGCGCGGAAGCTGTGATGGGCGGGGCATCGCTGCGAAAGGCATGGCCGATGAGTCGAAACGGTTGAGACGACAGCTGAAGTGCAGGGCGCGCGAGGAAGAGTTCCCTCGACAGGGCCCCATCAGCGACCGGCAAGAGAGCGATCACTTCACGAGGAAGAGCAAAGTTGTTTGCGCGGATTGCGTTGGCCTCGGGTTCGCGGCACGGAATTGGCAAGAGCGCCGATGGTTCGGCGCTTGCAAGAGGAACCCCCCCAAATCTCAGTTCGCGGTTGGACCGATCTTCGCGCGCCCCCACCGTCACCGCGCGCTGAAGTGCAAGGCCTGCGCGCGAGACCCGCTGCAGCGTTCGTGGCAGCTCGCGAATGCGCGAGGCCGGCACGGGGGAGCTGGGAAAGAGAGAGGTGATACAAAGGGGGATGGAGCGGGAGGAGGAGGAGCAGGAGGAGGAGGAGGCAGGGAGTTGGGCGGTGGTTCGGTTTGGGGCCAGGGGAGGGACATGAGTCGTATATGCTAAACGCGCACGTGTTCTGAAGGGAGTCGGGCGAGGCCACGGTTGGGGGGCCGGGGGAAATACGTGAAACTAGAGGCGATGGGTCGGGCGTCCTGGGGCGACACCGTCGCTACAGCTGGACTCCGCGCGTTGTCTAGCTGCCTTCGGCCCACCCCGCCACCGCGCTCGGGTTGTGGGCAAGAAGCGTATAGGATGTCCGTTGGGATCTCGTCGGGGATTTTTGTTCGCGGGTTCTTTGGAGGCAGTTTGGAAGGCCGTTGAAGGTCGTTTGGGGGTTTCTTTTGCATCTCTTTGGGGCCTCATGGGGTTTTGGGGTGCCTGTTGGGGGCCTTTCGGGGCGCATTGGAGGGGGTGGGGAGGGGGGGGGGGGGGGGGCATATTTGGGGTTCCTGGGGGCCTCTTCGGGCGGGGCGTTGGAATTATGGGTTCGAGGTCCCCCTCTTGGGCCCCTCTTCGGACCGCTTTGGGGCACTCTTGTGCCGTTTTGGGGGCGTTGTGGGCCGTTTCGGGGCCCTTTTGGGATGTCTTGGGGGCCCCTTGGGAGCCTCTTGGGCCGTCGTGGGGCGGTTTGGGGGGCCTCTTGGACTGTCGTCAACGCCGCGAAAGCCGAAACATCGCATACGTTAAACATACGCGTTTTCCGAATGGAAGTTGGCGATTTGGGCGTCATGGGGGCTTCCTGAGAGGCCTCCTAGAGGCGCTTTGCGGTGCCTTGGCGGTTTCTTGGGCCATCCTGGGCCCATCTTGGGCGTGTCGGAACGGTCGTTCGGAGAGTCTGTGTTCTCTTGGACCGTCTTGGGGGTGTCTTTGGAACCTCGACAAGCTGTTTTTGCGACTCAGAGCGGGCGGTTTGGGCCGTCTCGGAACCCTTTTGGGCTGTTTTGGATGCCCCTTGGGAGCCTCTTGGGCCGTCGTGGGGCGTTCTTGGGGGCCTCTTGGAGTGTCGTCAACGCCGTGCAGGCCGAAAAGTCCCATATGTTAACGCGCGCGCTTCCCACATGGTAATAAACGATTTGGGCGTCGTGGGGGCTTCCTGAGAGGCCTCCTGGAGGCGTCCTGGGGTGTGTTGGCTGCTTCTTGGGCCATCCTCGGCCCATCTTGGGCGTGTTGGAGCGATCGTTCGACCCTGCGTGAATCCTCCAGAGACCCTGCGCGAATCCTCCAGAGATCCTTGACTTGCGCCGCGAAGACGTCATCGCTCCATCGGCGAGGGCGGGGGCCGCCCACCGAAAGTGGGCCATCGTTTGTGGCTCTTCAGACGAGGGCAGGCGCGCCCAGACGGGCAAGGTCGATGAGCACGTGGTCTGTGGCGCTCGATCGAGAGAATGGGTGGTGGAGGTCTTGTCCACGCTGTATCGCACTGCTACCCAGGGCGCCCTGCTTCTTCCCTAGTTGACGCTGGCTGGCTACGAGAAGGAGTTCCAGCGGTCAGTCAAATTTCGGGGTTTGACAGCATTGAGTCTGGCCCCGCACGCGCTGAGACATTCGGGGCCCTGCAATGACCTCCTTCAGAAGCGTAGAACTTTGGGGCTTACCCGCCGACGAGGGCGCCGGGAGGCCATTCAGAGTGTTCAGAGGTCCGAAAACACGCCCGTCTGTTGTCACAGTCGAAGAAGGTGCTTGCAAGCTTGATAAGCAAGCTTCCGTCTGCTGTAGGATTACTTCGTGCTGCGCTGCAAAGCAAGTTGCCGCGGGGACTTCAGGCTTGAGAACGGTATGATTGTTTCGGCTCCCGCCGTCCATCCCCGACAACCATCCTATACTCACGATGCTGGTGGGATTTTGGTAGTGGCCGGCAGCTCGAGGACCTTGGTCACCACGGCGTCTGTCTTGTCATTCTCAATTGGCGTGGGAGGCCCACGTCTCTTGCCAGCGCAGTTCGATGCAGTTTGCTGGGCTGCTGAATTCCAGGCGGCACGGTGGCTTGTCTTCGTAGCCAATGTGGTTCTGAAGGCTTGCGCATTATCCACCGACGGCGTCTGGGGCTCCGCTGGCAGATCATGTCAGTTGAGGGGTGCGTCGCGGATTTCACGTTTCCCCCGATGATCTGAGGCCCTCGGAGGAGGGATGAGTGACTGCAGCCAGTTCTGGGCGGAGCACATTAGTGATGCACAAATTTCCTTGCTATTGATCTTTATCAGATCGTCCTGCTCCGCCCGCCCGCATCCGCTGCGTGCTCAAAGTGCGCCGACCTGCAGCCCCGCCACCGCCCTCACTGCCAGCGAGTGGTCTGTCAGTGTTTTTCCTTGGTAGCGGCGGGCAGCTCGAGGACCTTGATCGCCGCAGTGTCTGTCCTGTCAGATTCAATTGGTGTGAGAGATCCACGTCTCTTGCCAGCGCAGTTCGATAAAGTTTGCTGGGCCGCTGAATTCCAGGCGGCACGGTGGCCTGTCTTCGTGAACAATGTGATTCTGAAGGCTTGCGCATTATCCACTGGCGGCGTCTGGGGCTCCGTTGGCAGATCATTTCAGTTGAGGGGTGCGTCGTGGATTTCACGTTTCCCCCGAAGATCTGAGGCCTTCGGAGGAGGGATGAGTGACTGCAGCCAGTTCTGGGCGGAGCACATTCGTGATGCACGAAATTCCGTTCTATTTATCTTTATCAGATCGTCTTGCCCCTCCCGCCCGCAACCGCTGCGTGCTCAAAGCGCGCCAACCTACAGCCCCGCCACCGCCCTCACTGCCAACGAGTAGTCTGTCAGTGTTTTTTCTTGGTAGTGGCGGGCAGCTCGAGGACCTTGATCGCCGCAGTGTCTGTCTTGTCATATTCAATTGGTGTGAGAGACCCACGTATCTTGCCAGCGCAGTTCGATAAAGTTTGCTGGGCTGCTGAATTCCAGGCGGCACGGTGGCCTGTCTTCGTGAACAATGTGATTATGAAGGCTTGCGCCTTATCCACCGACGGCGTCTGGGGCTTCGCTGGCATATCATTTCAGCTGAGGTGTGCGTGGTGTATTTCACGCTTCTTCCGACGATTTGAGGCCCTCGGAGGAGGAATGAGTGACTGCAGCCAGTTCTTGGCGGAGCACATGAGTGAGGCACAAACTGACTTATCTTCTGGCCTTTTCGGGCCCGGCGGGGGGGCCCAAAAAACGTCAAAGGGGGCAAGAGGGCGCCAAGATGGCCCAAGAGCGCTCCAAGAGAGCCCAAGACCGCACAAGAGCGTTTCAAAATTGGTCCGGCATGGCTTGAAGACAGCCGAAGAGGGGTTCAAGACGGCCAAGATACTTCCAAAAGGATCCCCACGAGGCATTCAGGAGGCGAACGACTTGTTATGTCATAGGGTTTTTGAAGGTTTTCGTGTTCTCGCAGTTTCATGTTTCCGACTGTCCAAGGCAGCTCACGAGGCCCCAGACGTCAGTTCAACGCGGCCCAAGAGGCACCCAAAGAGGGCACCACGACGGCACAAGAAAACCCCAAGACGGCCCAAGAGCGCTCCAAGACGGCCCACGAGGCGCCGAAGATCGCCCAACAGGGCCCGAAGACGGCCCCAAGAGGGGCTCAAGAGGGGGAACACGAAACGATGGGAGGGTCCTGGGACGTTTTTGCATGGTGGGTGGCCCCTAGAGACTCAGTCCCACAGGCTCCAGGAGGCTGGCGGTGTCAGGCGCGGTGGAGGCGTGGTGGGAGCAGGGTGAGGAGGTCCCGGGACGCTTTTTGCATGGTGAGTGGCCTTCAAAGACCCAGTCCCAGAGGCTCCAGGAGGGCTGGCGGTGTCAGGCGCGGTGGAGGCGTGGTGGAGGCGTGGCGGGGGCAGGGTGAGGGGGTCCCGGGACGTTTTTCGCATGGCGAGTGGCCCCCAAAAATTGAGTACCAGAGGCTCCAGGGGGCTGGCGGTGTCAGGCGTGGTGGAGGCGTGGTGGGAGCAGGGTGGGGGGTCCCGGGACGTTTTTTGCATGGTGGGTGGCCCCCAAAGATTTAGTCCCAGAAACTCCAGGAGGCTGGAGGTTTCCGACCCTCGAGTGTTCCTTATTTGATTGAGGCGGCGGTGATTTCTATTGCGAATCCACTATTCAGGTCCCAATGTTTCCCAGACCTTGGATTCCTATTCAATGGTTCTTTTCCCAATGCCCTCACCGTTTCCCAGACATCATATGTGGCCAGCGCCGGCGTCCTGTCTTTTCCCCCATCCAACAGCGGGGCCGGGGAGCAGGAGGGTCGAAGGATGGGGGCGAGAGTGATGTTCTGCTGGGTCTTAGAGTTGTCGCCTGCGCACGGGGGCATTCGGACGTTGCTGGAGTTGCTCAGGGGCCAGGATGTGGGAGGCGAGAAGCCGGAGCACTTGGCGTCGCTCGGACGTGTGCATCTCTTCCGGCGAGGACCATCGAGGAACATTCTTGATCATCTAGCGGAATTCGCACGCGCGAAATCGAAAAATGCATGGGGAATGGACGTCCGAGCGATGGCGAGAGCATGAGGCCGAGCGCGCGGGGCAGCCTGAGAGCGCGCACGCACGGGAAAGTAGGCGGGAAGCTGGGGGAGCTGGGGCATGGAGGAGCGGGCACGGAGGAGGCTTGGTCTTAGGTCGGGCGTGTCCCCCTACAGGGGGATTCTGGACGAATATATCTATATATCTATACATGTATATATATATATATATATATATATGTATATGTATATGTATATGTATATGTATATGTATATGTATGTGTATATATATATATGTATATATATGTATACCCCAAAAATATTCCAACAATGCTGAAAAATGGTTCAAACATCGTCCCCAGACTATTTGTTTGACTTTTTTTGAGCATGCCTCCTGTAGAGTGACAGGCCCGACTTAAGTCTGGTCGAGCTGCCCAGCCGCTCCGTGGAGATGGAGGAGCTCGCTCGGATAGGAGGTGCCGTTGCATGGGCTTCCCAGCTCTGATGACTGGTGGCGACCACGTGGCCCCCTGCGGGCAGCATTCTCACATCCGTGCCTTGCCCCCGAACTCGAAGCAGACGCAGTAAAAGCGCAGCCATCAGCGGCGAGCACGTGCTTCGTGCCAGGCCTGCCCTGGCCACCTAGAGAGACTTGCGCCAGGTGCCCGTTGAGGAGGTCTGGCCGCTGCGGCACGTGGTCATGTGGCCCGAGAAGGACCTGGAATTCGTCAAGGTTCCTGGGGACGAAGGCGTGGCCCACAGCAGATTCAGTCAGAACTCCGCCAGGCATGATCAGTTCCACAAGGGTGATGCAGTATTGGAAGGGTTCCCAGAGTGGCTTGAGAAACGTGCCAGGCTGAGGTGGAGGTGGCAACACGGTCGAACGGGTCTGTGATCCAGTGCTCGTTGTCGCTCTTTGGGTGGACGTGCTGAGGGACAGACGTGCTCACCATCCAGGACCGTGTGGAACTGCGGAGAATGGTGATATCTGTAGAGCTGACGACGACCAGGCGGGAGCTGGCGCAAGCTAAGCCAAGACGATTCCAGGCGTGGGTGGCATCAAATGCGTCCGGCAGTGCCCCTTAACACACGCGCTTTTTGTGTCGCCGCCACGCGGGCAGCCACGCGGCGGAGTCAGACAGAGCGGTCGAGGGAAAGCTCGAACGCAGCATAATGTCGGCCTCAGAAGTCAAAGCACGTGCACACGTATGTTGGCGGATAGAGTGCGCGGAGCACCCGCGCCGTGATCGGTGGGCCTTGGAAGGGCAACGGTCCCCCCCCCACTCCTGTCCGGCCGTGCTTTTCCTCTTCCTTCTCCTCTTCCTCCTCCTCCTCCTCCTCCTCCTCCTCCTCTCGAGTTCCATGCTGCCCCACCCCTCATCCCTCATCATGTGCGTCCATCTCCGCACCCTTCCCCCAATCCTGTTCTTCCAATTCCCTGCCCTGCTCAACAGTAAGCCTGGTGCACGGCGCCTCTCCTGCATATAGGCAGGGGCTGGACACGCGCGTGGACGCGCGTGTGTCCAGCGCTCGGCATTGTTGCAACTGGGCAAGACGGTCCTCCTACCATCGCATGCACAACCATCGGGTCGGACGAAAGCGGGGGATATAGAGAATCGGGGAGGTACGACATCTATTCTTGGCTGCTGATTGCAGCGCTTTCCTTTATACATTGGCACTTCCAGCGCCATAAGGCGCCGTGAAAATCAACCACGTGAGCTGAATTGCTAGCTTCCCCTCCTACTGACTCGCCCTCTCGTCAGACCTGAAGCCAGCACGTGGCCCAAGCATGTATGCCGCATGCAGATCCAGCCTCGTGCCCGAGGTTGGGATTTCTCCACCGCCCGCCGAGGTCCCCGAAGGTCGATCCCCCAGGCGGGGGTGATGGATCAATCCCCGCCGCGCATCGTGTGCTTCCACCTTCACGGTCCTCCTCCTCTCCTTGCTCCTTGTGGAAGATTCCCCTCTGTCGCCCCCCGAGGTCGAAATGGCGGCCGGGCGTTTCGCCTGGGGTCCCCTCACCGTTTATAACCTTCACGTTTCAACATTGGTAACAGCTTCACAGATGGAGGGCGGGCGGTTTTCAAGGTGTGACTCCGCCCTCCCCTGGTCGTGGGCGGCAGACACCTCCGCCGGGCCCGGGGCCGCGGCCCCGCGGATGCCGGCTGCTCTTCCGTGCGGCTGCCCCGCGCTTCGCCGCTCGTGGGGGCGGCGCAAGCGGAGACTGCCCGGGCTCCGCGCAGGGCTCTCGGGTCGGCGTCTGCTTCCTCTTTTCGTCAAGGGCGTTAAAGACGCCCCTACCCTGGTTTACGAGACGCTGTGCGCCGAACCTCCTGTGGGCTGACAGGGTGAGCCTTGCATATCGCGCGTGTCGCGCGGTGTCCTGGCGGCTCTCTGGCTTTTGGGAGTTCCCAGGAGGTTTACGGACCACGGACTTGTAACCCAGGGTAGGGGCGTTTTTGCATCCTTGAATTTCGTGCTATCCCCAAGCTTGTGTGTTTCCTCGCTCTGCTCCCTTTCTGCTGTGCCACAGGATGGTTTTTTGTTGTGCCTCGGGTCGGCTCTTTTTTGCCTCGGCCTGGCTTCTTGTTCCTCGATGTGGTTCTCTCCTCGGTCTCGTTGGCTTCTTCTCCTCGGTGTGGCGTCTTCTCCTCCTCCTCCTCCTCCCCCTCCCCCTCGCCCTCGCCCTCGCCCTCCTCCTCCTCCTCCTCCTCCTCCTCCTCCTGCGCCGGGGGGACCCCCCCTCCCTGGCTGCGCCACGGGCGCGCTCCGCTCGCCGCTCCGGGCCCTCCCCCCCTTCCCGGGGCCGCGGGCGGGCGCCCAGGCCCGCGGGCCCGCCACTTCGGTGTGCGGGCCGAGGACGGCAGGCTCACCAGCGTCGTCTCGCTCTTCGAGGAGGGCGCGGCGGCGGCAGGCGGGCCCCCCCGTGCGCCCAAGGGAGGGGCGGCACGGGGGCTCTCGAGGAGGAGGAGGAGGAGGGGGGAGGAGGAAGAGGAGAAGGAGGAGCCGTAGCCATTTTGGCTCAAGTCCGTAGCGGTTCGGCTCAGGACCTGACCTTTTGGCAAGGGGGAGAAGACGGCCCCACCTGCATCCCTCGTTTGCCTGGTCGGACGAGGTTTACCCGATGTGAGCTCCTATGGGAGTACAGTAAGTACGACGTTTTCAGGAAGTCTTCACAGGAAGCCATGGCGCCTGCTCCCGTTCCTGCTAAGCCTCGCTGGGCTTGGAAATGTGGGCACTGTGGCTGTGCTAAAAATGAGTGGCGTTGGTCGTGGTGCAAACATAGTCAAAGGAGCTGGTCTGGAGTTGCCCCTAGTGACACCAAAGTGCCCCAATGGCCCCTGCCCAAGCCTAAAGGAGGCAAAGGAAAAGGTAAAGATGGCCCAGTGTTCACTGATCAAAAATGGGCGTCTCCATTCAACACGTCGCCAGGCAGTGTGTCGGAGGCCGAAATTTCTCAACTCATCAGCCTTGCAGAAAAAATGGGAGACAAGGCCACCGCAGACGTATATCGTGCCAGGCTGGCAGCGCAGCCCGTGGCTCAAGCCCCTGCCCAGCAGCGGGCAAACGACGCTAACCGTGCGCTCAAGCAGCTGGACACGAAAATGCAGAAACTGGTGGATCAGTATGAAAGGACCCAGGAATCACTGGAATCGCAAGCTACCCAAATCAAAGAAGCGTTACGCCAAGTTGCTCAGCATGAGGAGGATTATCGTGTGGCCATCGAAGAAGTTCATTCGCAAGTACACCCAGCTGCAGCAGAACCGAACCAAAGTAAGATCAGCTTGGCAGCCCTCATGGAAGGACAGGTGCAGCTCCACTTGGATCCACATGAGATGTTTGGGCTCAATGAGTTTGTGGACCTCTCGGCTGAGGACAAAGAGGAGGCTGCCCGTCGGGTCAAGGCGCTGCAGGATTTCCTTCAGGATGCCACGTATAAGATGTTTGGTAAAATCAAGACCCAGGCGGAGGAGCTTCGCAAAGAGCACACTAAGCAAAAAGAAAGGCTGGTTGCAAAAAAGAGGAAGGGGTCTGACTGAGAAGGCATTTCGGCAGCGGAAGCGAAGGAGGTACCGACTGCGACCCCGACACAGAAAAAGGAAGAAGGACAGGATCGAGTACGTCCCCGTGCTGGGTCTAGTACTGAGACGGCAGGCGAAGCAGGCAAAGTTCCCAAGGCTACCAATCCTGTCCAACCCACTCCACCAGGACAAAGTGTTTGACAGCAGTTCGACACAGAATACCTCGGAGCATGGCTTTGAGTTGCCACTGATGCTTGATGGGCTGGCGGATGCTGCCCTTAATGACAGCCCTTCCCCAAGGGCTGCGCCTTGCGTCAGGTTGGCCACTCAGCCTGCAGATTCTACAGTCTCTTCATGGATGGACACTATGCTTCAAGGCTGTGAGGTGCCACCCAGGCTTGGTGAGCTGGCGCATGCTGCTCTTAATGGCAGCCCTTCCCCAAGGGCTGCGCCTCGCCAGAGGAAGGCCCCCCCGGCCCTCTGTAGCCTCCCCACCAGCTGGCCTGGATCCAGGGTTGGCGGCGCGAGAGACCCAGAGTTCGCCGTCGGCAAGCTGGGCTACCAGGTCAGGATCGCAGAGTTCATCTAGTCGCCATGAGGCTGGATCCAGAGATATCACCCCAGGTGGCACGCACCGCTCGCCCGCAGCCCCAAGGCCACAGAGGGTAGAGGGCACCGGCCACCCGGGGTGTAAGAACGCACATCGGAATGGACCGCGACAAATTTCACCCTTCACGCTCAAGACCACGCAGGTCTCCACGTTGCCACCGAGACCGAAGGTCAAAACTGAGAAGCGGCAGGGTTTGAAAGGTGTAACCATCAATGGCTCGAGCTGGAACACAATTGATACTATTATGGATGCCCCCAGCTTTGCCGATGCAATAATGGTCCAGGAACATCGTTTGAAAAAGGTTCGATCTATCAAAGTCATGAACGATCTGAGAAAGGCTGGTTGGCGCTCATTTGGGGGACCTTGTTGCGCAACGGAGAAAGGGCGCGCCTCGGCTGGAGTCGTCATCCTGGTCAAGCACTACCTCAACTCCTGGGCACCAGATGAAGGGGAGCTGGTACGAGGACGCCTCGCACGTTGCCACCTACGCCTCCATGATGTTGGTGAGCTTACCCCCCTGACATGCTATCTATATGTTGGCGAGGGCTTCATCCCAAGGAATCTCAAGATCCTGGAGATTGCAGGCAACCAGATTCATGCTGTCCCATGCATATTTGGAGGAGATTTCAATACTTTCCCAGAGAAGCTAAATCCTGCCATCCCGTTGGCGAAGTTGCGAGGTGTCACGCGGGCTGATGATGAGAATCCCTCCTACGTGCTCGATGGTCACAGCTCTACAATTGACTACTACATGGTTGATTGGCACCTGGATCTGTTGGTGGAGGTACTAGTCTTGCGTGATGTACCTACCTCACCACACAGCCCTGTTCTCCTTACGCTACAAGGTGCTAAGGACCAGGTGGTGGAGATTGTTGAACCGTACCAGAAGGTCTCGACTCAAAGGATCTTTGGCCCGATGTTACCACCTAAGTTATGTACACCTATTGGACCAGATTGATGGATTTCCTGAGCCGCTGGGTGGAACTGCAGCCAAGTACACGCTCCAGGGCACTGTAAAGGAGGAGGCGCTCAGTCTGCTGGACACCGTCTACGGCCAGTGGGACGACCTGGCCTGGAGTGAAGTCTGCCGTGCGGCAGACATGCCAATTGTCTCTGGCTTGCCCGCTGGCTCGGACTTCCAGTGGAAGTTGGCCCCACTTAGATGAGTTTTTTTCAAAAAAATCGTAAAAGCGCGTGGGCCCTCAGCGGGCCTTGCACTGGGTTGTTCAAAAGCTTTCCAGTCAAATCCCTGCTGGGGCAAGGTTATAAAGTTGGATACCGTGCTGACCTCGCGAATCTGTCGGTCCAGTGTTTGTGGATGTTGGTCCGTGGTGGCCCGTTTCGCCAGGTTTGGCCCCGTGGAGGCAGCTTCTGGCATCCAATTACGTTTCTTGCTGGTTCCATGGTCCAGGCCCCGAATGACAAAACGGAGGCCGCCTTGGACCGGACAATCAGTTTTGCCCAGTTCATGCACGACCACATGCTGTGCTCAGCTGCCCAGATTCGTCGCAAAGAATGGTCTGAGCGGCGCGCCGATGCCATGGGGCAAGGTGCGCGAAAGGCGCGCAGTTATTTAAGAGGCAAGCAGGCCCCTGTGGACGTCTCTGGCCCTGGGCCTCCTGGACCCGCCTTGGACAGGGCCTCGATCGCCAATCGGATGCAGGCCGAAAAGCAGAAGTGGACCCAGGCCTGGAAGGCTGAGGAAAGTCCTGCCCCTATATCTGTCTGGTCTCTACCTGTCCCTGCCAGAGCTGCAGCGAACGCAGATGTGCTGCGATCTATCAGCAAGCGTTTTAGCAAGCACATGTGCAAGCCTGACGGCTGGCACCCACGACACTATAGTATGCTGTGTGACGAGTCGCTCGGGCTGCTTGCTAAATTGTTCCATTTAATTGACCGAACTAGCTGCGCGCTCCAAAAGCTTCGCCGCTTGGTTCGACCCCAGCCACGTTTGACGCCAAGCTCGCATTAAAACCAACTGTGGAGGAGTACAGTGCCACGCTGCCTCAGGATGCCCTTGTCTCCCTTCATATTGATGACCTCACCCGCCACGCGTGGGGAGCGGATTTGCGTGCCCTGGCCAAGGGATTGGCTGACAGATTCAATTCACTAGGACACAGAATTGTAAGTGGGCTAGGCCTGCCACTGGCCGATCACAAGATTTGCATGATTGCTTCCTCTCACCGTGCTTTAGAAGTTGCAAAACAAGCGGTAGGTAAAGTTCATGGGGGCCATGGGGGGTACTCGGTTGCGAACTTGGGGGTTGATTTTCGCGCGGGAATGCACCGAGCTCACCCCAAGGCCCACACCACTAGAGCCATGAGATGGCGCAAGATGTGCCAGCGTGTTGCCCGACTAAAGAAATTAAGCTAAGAGACCTGGCGATGAAGCTAGGCTCATAGCAACGAATGCCATCCCCGCTGTCACCTACGGAGAAGACATCAATGCATTTAGTCCATGCCAGGTAACCAGGCTTAGGCAGTCAGCTGCAGCAGCCAGTGGAGTCTCGATTCGTGGTGTTGACGTGGAGTTAGCGTGGGGTTTGTCTCGTGCCAGGGATCCACTGGAGGTTGCAGGCGTGACTTTACGACGCTACGCGGCAGAATGGTGGCAGGCCACCATCCCTAGGACAGACCTCCAACGACAACAGACGGATGTCCTTAGCCCGTCTATGCTCAGTAAGCTCCTCAGAGCTGCTCAGTCATCTGGCCCCAGAACTCCCCCATCTAAGCGCCAGTGGTTTAAGTGGAGTAAGGGGCCAATCTCTGATACTATTGCGTGGGTCAGGGAAGGTGGCTGGGCTTTCAAGAGCCCGTCTGTCGCACTGACCGGCTTGGGATTGACATCGAGCTCAATGTTATTTCCCGTGTGTTTGTCGCCAAAAGGTTCGCGTCACAATTTAAAGATGCTCGAATTCAAGTTGCTGCCAGAAAGGTTGTTTAGCGCCACCCGCGCGCTGAAGCCCGGGCCCTACAGGAGCGAGGGCATAGTTGGGAGCTCAGTGCCAGGTTTTTGCGCTCTGCCCATAAGTTGCCGCCTCGAGCTGTCAGCGCCCTCGAGCAGGCCATGGGGGGGTGCTGCCCCCGCGGCCGAGAACCTCAGGATATGGGGTTATTCTGTTCCCCTGGAATGTAAGTTCTGCGGCAAGCCAGACACGACCTTCCACAGGTGCCGGGAGTGCCCACATGGCGCAGGAAAAAGAGAAGAGATGTGCACACCTGAATTTCTCCAGGATGCCATTGCGGCTGGTGACCAGAGTCTTTTATATACCAGAGCGTGGCTTCCTAAGTTCGATGTCCCCGAGCCTGCACCTGATTGGGACCTCAGGTATAGAGACGCTCAAGGCCCGTGTGAAAGGTCTGAGTTCACTCGGGATGCTAGGCTTTACTCTGACGGTAGTTGTCTCCGCCCAACTCCCTAGGCGAGTTGGCCAGAGCTGGTTTTGGCGTCTGCGAGCTTGACTCGGATGGGAACCTGCCCCGTGCCATTTTTGGTCCCGCCCCCAAATGTTTTGGTCGAAGCTCTGGCGTTGGGGAGCATGCGGCCTTGATGGTTGGGGCCATCCACACGGAAGGAGCCCTCCCCAGCAGCCTCGCAATTGACTACCAAGCCTTGTTGAGGGCAGGCTTTTTAACCCCCAAGCTGCCCGTTCCCAGAATTCGGTGGCGTCTCACTTCTTCCGTAAGATTGCCGTTGACATCTCCGAAGGCTGGATCAACGTTAAGAAAACCAAGGCCCACAGAAAGGAGAACCAAGCTGAAAGCCCCGGAGACCTGGAAGCCATCAGAGGCAACAGGTGTGCTGATTGGCTTGCTAGAGAGGGTGCTAGGCTCCATGAGTTCCCTCCTCTCGTGGATGAAGAAAAAACTCACACTGTTGTACGCTATTACACACTTGGTGTATCCTTTCTGAGCGGCCCACCCCAGGAGAAATATTCGTGGAGCTCAACAAGGGGAGTGTGGGACCGAGGGGTAGGCGGGGTCCGAGAGACCCACGCACTCCTTATTGGGCTGGTGACCACTGGAGATGTGAGTGTTGTCTACGGCGTATCAGCTGTAGAACTCGGTTTGAGTGCAATGGACGCTTGAATGCGTCCCTCCTCAGGGTCCTGGCTGCCCCTGAATTTAAAAAAAAAAAAAAACACAAACTGCATGTTGCTTGGACGGTCCTCCATGGAACCCCGGTTCTTTGTTTGTTTTTGTTGTGGTGCGTTCGCTACCATGAAGGCCCTTTCACTGTCCAAGCCGTGCCATCCCAACCCGAAGTCCAAGGAGCTTCGGACCCTCCTCCGCGGGTTCCTGCCGCAGTCTCCGTGCAGGATTGGTCCAGCTCTGCCGCTCGGCAGGACACCGCTGGGCGAGCTGGCGACCAAGTTGCAGCAGGACGCCCAGAGGAGGGAGGGGGGAGCCTAATCTTTTTCTTTTGTTTGAAGTTGAACACCGTTCGGCCTCAGACACTTTCAGATTGCCCAGATTGCCCAGAGAAGGAGGAGGAGAGCGGGGGGGGGGAGGAGGAGGAGGAGGAGGAGGAGAGCGGGGGGGGGGGTGAGGAGGAGGAGGAGGAGGAGGAGGAGGAGGAGGAGAGCGGGGGGGGGAGGAGGAGGAGCAAGAGGAGGAGAGCGGGGGAGGGGGAGGAGGAGGAGTAGGAGCAGGAGGAGGAGCAGGAGGAGGAGGAGGAGGAGCAGGCAGGCTTGTCGGCGCTCGGCGGCTCTCCGGTCTCGGGGCGGCGCCTCGTCGCAGCCGCGCCTCGCCGGGAGCCGTCCAGGGGTGGCCGGCTCGGGCCAGAGGGCCGCGGGAGACCCGAGGTCCTGGCCCGAAGGCCATGCGAGACTGGCTCTCAGGTGGGAGACTGGAGCATGTACATTACCAGTGGCGGGCGGTTTTTCAATCCCAGGACTCTTGAGGGTCGGGGACGACGTCGGGGTGGTGTGGTCTGTACTTGTTACCTTCGTTTTCCCGGGGAAACACCGAAGAATGTATACACCAGGATCCCGTATACACCAGGATCCGCTTTCCTGTGCGAGATTCAGTGTGAGGCCAGAAAGAGGCGTCGGTGTATAGAGTTCGGCTCTTTATCAGGGGGAAATGCATCGACCCTCGATCGGTCTCTCTTGGAGAGGGGCTGCTCCAGGGGCAGGGTCAGAATTGTGTTTCGGATGTGTTCCTCCGTTCCTCCAGGCTTTCCTGCCTGGAATGCGTTCCTTCGGCTGCGCCTCGCCGAGAGTGTTGTGTTGGATGACGAGGCTCAAGGGGAGGATACATTGGCCCCCAATCGCCAGTTCATCTCCGACAGAGGCCAGATTGTCCACCCCGCCCAGGATCGTGCGGATTCGCTATCGGGTGCGCATCGCCGATGCATCGACGTTGTATCGCCGATTCCAGGTCGATGCTTCACCTCCTGAGCCAGTCACCTCTGAACGTTTCCCATCAGTGTGGGTTTCCTATGGATTAGTCGTGCTGGTCGTGAAGTAACATGATTCCTTCACGAAGTGGGACCCCGAGGCTCCCGACCCCATGGGCCGATTTCTTGATGCGGGTCGCAGAGTGGTGCAGAACTGGCTGATCCAGACGGGCACACAAAAGGAATACTAGGCAGCGTCATTTCTCAGGACGCCGTGGGTCTAGGATAGCTGAGACCAGGTCAAAAAGGAACGACCAGCTGGGGGCCGGTGATACCACCACCACCACCACACCACCACCACCACCACCACCACCACCACCACCACACCATCATTACCACCACCACCACCACCGCCACCACTACTATCACCACCACCACTATCACCACCACCCAGTGAGGAGGTCCACAATGCCCCCCCGAGCTGGAGCTTCGATCTGCCTCCAGCTGGGCGCTGCAGCGACTTGACAGCTTCAGGAGGATCGTCCACTGCTTCTCCTGACAGTGTTGGTTGGTGGTGTCATTCTCCCTCGTTCTGCAGGTCTCTGGAGGTTTGCCCCCTTCCCCTCTCTCCCTCTCCGTTCCGTTTGTTCCCCTGCCCCCTCTCCCCGACTTGGCGGCGAGCCCAGAGGGAAAGTGAGCGGGGGCTGACCTTCTCAGAAGGCAGCGGGGCTTCTCAGATGCCCTCAGGCCTTCTGAGAACCCACTTGCGTCCTCGCTTATATCAACTTCCCAGAAGGCCAGAGGCTTTCCAAGCCTTCAGAGAAAGCCCGCCTCCTCTGACTTCCCCTGAGATCCGACGTCGCGAAACAATAAAGCAATGATAGAAACTCACGGCCTGAGCCCTAGACCCTAGACTCCATCTTTCTGCGTCTTTTTTCGAGCCGGATCGATTTGTGACGGTTCTTGGGCGCGAAGACGGGCGGAAATGCCTGTTGTGAACACATTGCGCCGCTTGGATCTCAGGGCTTCCCCCCCTTGGCATCGCTCGGACGTGTGCATTTTTTCTCAGCGAGAACAATCGAGGACCATCTTGGACCATCGAGCAACACAAAAAAACACGCACGGAACCGAAACATGCACGGGAAATGGACGTCCCAGCGACGGCAAGGTTGTGAACAAGTTGCATCGCCTGGATCTCAGGGCTTCCCCCCGTTGGCTCGCCGCTGGCCGACGCCTGGTCTGTTCGCTCCCGTCGTTCGCCACTGGGCCGAGCGGTGCTGGTCGGTGCCCTCGCCCCTTGCACCTTGATGTTGTTCCGCGGGCGGCCATCATACGCCACCACCTCGCAGAGCTCGGCCATCCTTTCGGATGCAACTCCTGGGAGGTCAAGTTCTGATTTTGCCCTGGTCCGAAATCCGGCTCAATCCCGCTTAATCCCGCTTAATTCGGTTTACTTCCGCTTAATCCCGCTTAATCCGGCATAATCCGAGGCTCACTCCGGCGTAACAGCGCCCCAACGGGGCTCAATCCTCTTTAATCTTTCCGACGAAAATCTCCCAGTAGTTGCCTCCCAAGGCCACCACCCCGCAGAGCTCGGCCATCCTGGGCCCCGGGATGGCGTGCAACTCCTCCCAGGGCTCAATTCGACTCTTCCTGCTCGGTTCGATCCGACGTCGATCGATCCCCGTCTTGGCTGCCGATCTCCGCCGATCTGATCCTTTTCGATCGCCGACCCGACTTGTCGGTTCGATTCTGGGCTCTCTTGCCTCCTGGCCTCGGCCAGGAAGGCATTGAGGGTCGAGGGGCGAGGATCGAGGGGCGAGGGTCGAGGGTCCAGGATCGAGGGTCGGGGGTCGAAGTTCGAGCGCCGAGGATCGAGGGTCGAGGGTCGAGGGTCGGGGGTGAGGGTCGAGGGTTGAGCATCGAGAGTCGATGGTCGAGGGTCAAGGATCGAGGGACGAGGGTCGATGGTCGAGGGCCCTGGATCGAAGGTCGGTTGTCGATGGGCGAGGGTTCAGGATCGAGGGTCGAGGGTCGAGGGTGGAGGGTCGAGGGTCGAGGATCTACGCCCTGCCAGGCTGGCCCTGGCCAGGCATGGTGGTGGTGCAGATGCCCTAGGCTCACTCGAGGGCGGCACCCCCGGAGCCCCCCCGCGCGCTCGCAGGCGACGATCCAGAGGTTCGCGCCGGCGAGGCTGCCGGGGCGCCGCTGGTGGAGCGCCCGGAGCGCGCCGCACAGTTTCGGAAGCTGGCCACGCTGCCCGAGTTCCCCGCCCGTGCCCGCAGACCTCCGACGATGTGAGATTGTTTTGTTTCAGGGTCAGGCGAGAATCCGGTTTATCGCGCCCGCCTGTTTCGGGTTTGGCCAGGACCCCAGGTAAGGGGACCCGATTAGTGGTCGGGCCCTGGAGCCCTCGAATGGGCCAGAATCACAAAACCAGGTTTGCCTTAGCTGGTGTTTTTCTCGGGTGACGGCAATCCCGGTTAGTGGAGTGGGACGAGGGGGGCGTCCCTGGTACAGATCACGAAACCAGGTCCCACTAAAACCCAGCTCTGCCAACGCCCGATTGTTCCCCCCCCCTCCAGATAACCTGACCTTTTCGGTCGCGCAGGTCCGAGGAGGGTACGCCTTAATGGTGGGTGCGGGCATACGTGGGGCTGCCAAAAGCGAAGAAGTTAGGTTATTGGTTATTGGCCCGCACTTCCCTGCCCCCATGATAAACCGGGCTATCGCAGAAAAGTAACTAACATTGGCTCCATCATTCCCAACCATCTTGCAGTGCAGCCCCCCGCGTTCCTCCCCCCACACTTCCTCCCCACCAGCCCTCTTCACCGTCATCGCCATCATCAGCCTCACCTGTTCATGTCGGCACACCCGTCACCCGTTTCGTGGCCACATAATTCAGGAGCTCCACCGAAGGCCCCAGAGGCACCGTTGACATACGGGCGTCGCACAGTCTTCGGCACACCCCTTACACGCTGCTTAACCTCGTAGGGAGTGCCACCGAGGACGATATGATGATACTCACAACTGCTCAGCAATTTTTCTTCGCCAAATTACTTGATCAACCATGGCGTTGCTCTTCGATTCCGGCCTCTCGGGTCCGTCGTCGCGCCCCAGGGTGAAGAGCTGGCCCCGTGGAAGAGGTCGAGGCCTTTGCAGGGGGCGCGCCCAGAGAGTCATTCCGGTAAAGCACCCTGATAGCAGCTTGGTGAAGCCGGTCGAGAAGAAGAGATTTGCGAGTGAACAGTTCGCTCAAAGCGAGTATTTCTGAATCGATTTTCCTAGGGTTAGGTCGGGCACGTCCCTCTACAGGAGGAATATTTCAAAGTAGACAAAATAGTCTGGGGATGATTTTCTAGTGTCTTTTAATTATTAGAGGGATTTTTTTGGGGCATTTTTATTGTTCGTCCAAAATCCCCCTGTAGGAGGACAGGCCCGACCTAATCCTAGGGGTTACTAGACGTGACAGGGGTGGAAGCACGGCCATGTGCACCGCAGTCTGTGTGCTGCGCGGGATCGTGGCCGTGTGACGGGGGTGAACGCACGGCCATACGTGCACCGCAATTTTTGCCCAGGGCATCGCGGCGGTGCTGCAGGGACGGAAGCACTCGGAGGTGTATAGCCTCCTACACATTTTTCATTTCTAATCGTTCGAGAGTTCTTTGATTTTTCCCGCAAAGGGCATAGGCCCAGGGTTCTCTTTTAGTATGTAAACATGCCCCCGGTGCCCAACTTGAAGGAGGCCGGCGAAATTTTTCCTTGATAAATATCGAGGTCGAAGGAGGCCGGCGAAATTATTTTTGAGGATGTCTCGAGCGAAACGCTTGTTTTTGAAATCCCGATCGATAAATCACAGGGTGCGGGCCACTTTTTCGTGTGTTGAGGATGTCTCGAGCGAAACGCTTGCTCCGCAGAGTTTGCCGAGGATGTCTCGAGCGAAACGCTTGTTTTGCAGAGCCGACCGCGACGCGGAAAAGCGCCCCGCGCGAAGGAATTTCGATGATGTCTCGACTAATTCGTTTGTTTTTGTACGATTTCCTGGAATTTTGGCAGGATGTCTCGAGCGAAATGCACGACCCCACCCTAGCACGACCATACCCCAGCACGACCACACCCCAGCACGACCAGACCCCAGCACGACCCCACCCCAGCACGACCCCACCCCAGCACGACCATACCCCAGCACGACCACACCCCAGCACGACCCGACCCCAGCACGACCCTACCCCAGCAAGACCACACCCCAGCACGACCCACCCAGCAAGACCTCACCACAGCACGACCACACCCCAGCACGACCACGCCCCAGCACGACCACGCCCCAGCACGACCACGCCCCAGCACGACCCCCCCCAGCACGACCACACCCCAGCACGACCACCCCCAGCACGACTCCCCAGCACGACCACACCCCACGACCACACCCCAGCACGACCACACCCCAGCACGACCACACCCAGTCGCACCCCCGTGGAATGTTTCGTGGCGTGTCTGGTTGAGTGGTTGCCTGTTCGTGGGGTGTCTCGTGGAATGTTTCACGGGGTGTCTCGTGGAATGTTTCGTGAGGTGTCTCGTGGAATGTTTCGTGAGGTGTCTCGTGGGATGTTTCGCGGGGTGTCTCGTGGGATGTTTCGTGAGATGTCGCCCAGTTGGGTATCGTGAAAACGTGACCATGCTGCACATGTCTTTATCCCTTTCCGGGTTCGTGGGTCCATCATGTTTTGGGGCCAAGATCCTTTCATTTCTAATTTTCTTCTTCCTGGCCACTACGGGCCAGGAACAATTAGCAACGAGCACAATTAGAAATGAGCACGATGAGAAATGAACGACGTGTACCCTGACACGTCGATTGAGGAATTGGCCGTTTTCGGTTCGCGAGGGGGCGTCGCGGCTGTCATTTTCCTGGAAAGGGCTTCAGGCCCAGGGTTCTCTTTTAGTTTGTTCCCCGGTTTTGACAGGAAGAGGGCCGGCGGATTTCTTTTGTGATAAATAACAAGTGGGAAGAGGGCCGGCGAATTAACATTTCAGGATGTCCCTAGCGAAACGCTTGTTTTTCATACTTTGTGGAGGACGTCTCGAGCGAAACGCTTGTTTTGTGTTATAGATTGTCCTCTTCTGGGGACCTGAATTCAGAGGATCTCTCAAGTGAAGTGCTTGTTTTCACGTGCCCATGTCTTGAGGATTTCTCGAGCGAGACGCTTGGTGGTTTCACGCCTCCAGGTTGCCCAGACAGATGTCTAGCATGAGGATTTGTTGATGATGTCTCGAAGAGAGGCTTGTTTTCACGTGTCCAGGTTGCCCAGGCGGACGTCTAACATGAGGATTTGTCGAGGAAGTCTCTATCGAGACGCTTGTTTGCACGTGTCCATGTTGCCCAGGCGGATGTCTAGCATGAGGATGTGCTGAGAACGTCTTGAGCGAAACGCGTGTTTCCACGTGTCCAGCTCGCCCAGGCACAGCACAGCCCTCGGCACGGTACATCAATATCGATACCCTTGACATTGCAGCTTGGCATGTTGCCTCGCGCGTTCCGCGGAGAGTCCCGCGGCGAGTCCGCCTGGCACGTCGCGCGGTGCACGTCCATTGGCACGTTCCGTAGCGCGTCCCCTTGGCACGTCCCGCGGTGCGTGCCCATGGAACGTCCCCTGGCACGTCGCCTGGCGCGTCCCTTGGGACGTTCCGCGGCGCGTCCTCCTGGCATGTCCCCTCTGTCGATTAGTTCTGGGGCAGCTACCATCTGCTCAGGCAGCTCGAGCTTAAGATCCAAGTCAGTTCGGTCAGGACAACGAAGACTCGATCCACAACGCTATACATATATATAGAGAGAGAGAGAGAGAGAGAGAGAGAGCACAATCGCGGCATGGCACATCGCAGTTCAGCACGGCCCAGCACAGCACAGCCTTCGGTACGGTACATCAAGATCGATACACTCAACATTGCACCTTGGCACGCTCCTTGGCGCGTTCCGTGGCGAGTCCACCTGGCACGTCGCGCGGCGCGTCCCCTGGCACGTCCCGCGGCACGTCCATTGGCACGTTCCGTAGCGCGTCCCCTTGGCACGTCCCGCGGTGCGTCCCCATGGCACGTCCCCTGGCTCGTCGCCTGGCGCGTCCCTTGGGACGTTCCGCGGCGCGTCCTCCTGGCATGTCCCCTCTGTCGATTAGCTCTGGGCAGCTACCATCTGCTCAGGCAGCTCGAGCTTAAGATCCAGTTCAGTTCGGTCAGGACTCGGAAGCCAGGGAGGACTCGATCCACAACGCTATAAATAGAGCACAATCGCGGCAAGGCACATCGCAGTTCAGCACGGCGTAGCACAGCACAGCCCTCGGCACAGTACAGCAAGATCGATACATTCAGCATTGCATGTGCCCGTCGTCCAATCTGGTGTCTTTGAAACGTTGCCACGCCTTACATTTCTATATTCCTTTCCGGGTTCGTGGGTCGATCATGTTATACCGGATCTTGGCCGTGTGTCAGGGAGAGGGCACGGCCATGTGCATTGCATTGCGTTTCTTACACGGATCGTGGCCATGTGACATGGGGTGAGGTCAAGGCCATGTGCACCGTAGTTTGTCTCAACGTTCCGTGTCATGCTTTTGTTTTGAATCGATTGTTGCGGTCTCCAGCTCAATCCAACCCGTCATCTCCTCCTCCTCCTCCTCCTCCTCCTCCTGTGTTCTCTTTCCTGCCTCACGCTTTGTTCCCAACCCTGGTTTTGAATTCAGCACTGGTCGCCCCGTCCTCCTCTCTTCTCCTCACTCCTCCTACTGCCTCTCGCTTTCTGCTTTCCTCCTCGTCTTCCACCTCGTGGCTCCTTGGGGGGGCTTCGAATTGTGCAGCTATCGCCTCTTCCGTGGGCTCCCAGGAGGTCCAGCTGAGTGGAGGTGTTAACAGATTGCGTTGGGACCTCGCGGTTCCCTGGGGCGGCTGCGAATTGCGCAATTGTCGCCACTTTCGTGGCCTCCTGGGAGGTCCAGCGCAGTGGAGTTGTAACCAGATCGCGGTACGACCTCGCGGGTCCCTGGGGGGGCTGCGAACTGCGCAATTGCTGCTGTTTCGCGGGCTCCTGGGACGTCCAGCGGAGTGGAGTTGTAAACAGGTCGCGTTGAGACCTCGCGGGCCCTTGGGGGGGTTGCGAATTGCGCAATTGTCGCCCATTTCGTGGGCTCCTAGGTGGCATATCACAATGGAATTGTGAACGGACTCCGTTGAGACCTCGCGGGTCCCTGGGGGGTTGCGAATTGCGAAGCTGTTTGCCATTTTCGTAGGCTCTTGGGAGGTCCAGCTCCGCGGAGTGAAGTGGTAAACGGACCGCGTTGAGACCTCGCGGGTCCCTGCGGTGGCTGCGAATTGTGCGATTGTCGCCACTATCGTGGGCTCTTGGGAGGTCCAGCGGAGTGGAGTTGCAAGCTGTCACGCGGACCCTGTCGAGACCTCGCGGCCCCCCGGGGGGCTGCGAACTGCGCAACCGTCACCTCTTTTTGTGGGCTCCTGGGAGGCCCATCGGAGTGGAGTGTCACGCGGACGCTGTCGAGACCTTTCGGTTCTGGGGTTGCGAATTTCGCACTGCGGGTCGTACAACATGATTGTGTGGATTGAGCGGCTCTGACGGCAACCCTGCTTAGGCCTCTCCGCTAGCGCAGACGACCGCTGGCTCCTCGCCGACGCAAAAAGTGTATTAAGCGGCGCTGGGTATATAGTCGTCACATGTTTAGAAAGGTTTGGGTACGTCTCTGGATACTTGCTTACAAGGGGTCGTGGCCTTCCAGACCAAAAATGTAGCCGGCATTGAGGCGAGAGCACGAAATTCGAGTAAATTGTGGGGAAGTTTTGTCGAAGTTGCTGCCGGCACCGGCGTCTTCGGGTTCTCCGTCCCACTTCCCGTGGTTCCTTCAAATAGTGTCTGACGCGGGTTCGACGTGGGTTCGATCCAGATTCTATTCGGATCCGGCGCGGATGCCGGCACGATTGCACAGACGTCTGGGTTGGAGACCAACTATTTGCATGAGCATCGCCCTTCGGAGGGCCGCGCGGATGGCTCGGCTTGGTGCTGGACGCCCTTGGCGCCGCCCGTGGCACGTGCGGGGAGGGCGCAGCATTGACCCACTGCAGTCGCGCGGCCCTCCCGCGGCTCTTTGCTCGTGCCGTGGCGGCGCCGTCGGCGGCATCGGCGCCGCGGCGCCGTCGGCGGCGTCGGCGTCGGCTCCGTCGTCGTCAGGGCGCCGGCGTCGGCGGCGCACACCGCGGAGGCTTCGCCGGCGGCATCGGCGTCGTCGTCGGCGTCGGCGTCGGCGCCCGTCGGCGCCGTCCCGCGGCGCCGGCGTCGCGGCGCGCCGCAGAGGTTCCGGCGGCGGGGGCAGGCCGGGGCGCTGGTGCCCAGGAGGGGAACAAACACAGACACGATTGTTCGTCGATTCCGCCGGAAAGCATGGGAAAATACGGGAAGTGGGGGACCCCAAAAATAGGGGGAAAAAGCCGGGGAACAGTTTCGTTTGCGTGCGTTGATCTGTGTGTCCTGGGGCCCCTTCAGGTGCGGCGGTGCATCGAGGAGGCGCGCGCCGCCCAGGCGCGGCGGATCTGGTGCAACGCGCGGGCGGAGCAGGCGCCGCCCCGGCGCGGCGCCTTCGGAAGGCCCTTCGGCAGGCCCTCGTCGGGAGGCTCGCCCGCGGCCCCTCGGCGGGCCCCTCGGCGGCGGCGGCGGGTCGTGGTCTTGGCGTCGCTCGGGCGTGTGCACTTTTTTCGGGGGAGCGTAAGACCCGGGTTTGCCAGGACTCGGGTACGCCATCGTTTTTTGACGACCGCGCCTCGGATTTTGACGAGGAGGAGGAGTTTCGTGGGATGTCTGCAGCGGGAGGCCTCGTCAAAATGCAGGCTCGGCCTCGTCATTTTTTTGACGACCTCGTCGGGGATTTCCGAGTCCCCTGTACCCAGGTCTTACGTCCCCCTGATTTTTCTCGGCGAGGACCATCGAGGAACATCCTTGATCATTTGGCGAAGAAGCCACGCACGAAACCGAAGAACGCGCAGGGAACGGACGTCCGAGCGATGGCCAGTGGTCGTTTTCGCCTTCGTCATCGCTCCCGCCGCCGTCGTCCTGGACTGGCACGGGCGGCGATCAGATCCACATCCGTAGCCATGCCCTCGCAGTCTGGACATCCAGTGGCGGCCCCATAGATGCACGCGATCCCATGGGCAAGTCTCGCGCGGGGCATCCGCGCAAATCCGCCGTGCATCCATGGGGTCGCGGCTTTGGAGTCCAGACAGCGACGCTGTGAATATGGGTGCGCTTCCCGTCCGCGATTATCATTTCCGTCGGGTCGCGGTCGTCGCGGCCTGTTCCAGGAGCGGCGTGACGGTGATCTCCGCCGCCGCCTCCGCCGCCGCGGTTGGTGTGTGCTCTGTCCTTGTGTGGTCTCGGAAGATCGGGGTGTTGTTCCTGGGGGCTGAAGAAAACACACCAAAACTCTAAGGTTTTCACGTGTCGAGCCTTGGGAGACACTCTTTCGACACTTGTTGTTCGACACTCTTTCGACACTTTTGTGGGTGTTCGAAATTATCCGTAAGGGCTTCGCACCATGCCGCCGGCCCCCTGTCTCGGATAATGCGAAGTGCAAGCGCTAAATCATGAGGTCTGGGCGCCGCCGTGAAGCAGTGTCGGGACCTGTTTGTTTTTCGACCCTGCCCCTACGGATCTGCGTGAGGTGTGCCGCCGAATTTCAGAAATGTAGCAAATCCCATGTGTTTTTGGACCCTGACCCTGCCGATCTGCGTGAGGGGTGCCGCCGGATTTCAGAAATGTAGCAAATCCTATATGTTTTTGGACCCTGACCCTGCCGATCTGCGTGAGGGGTGCCGCCGAATTTCAGAAATGTTGCAAATCCCATGTGTTTTTGGACCCTGACCCTGCCGATCTGCGTGAGGGGTGCCGCCGAATTTCAGAAATGTTGCAAATCCTGTATGTTTTTGGACCCTGACCCTGCAGATCTGCGTGAGGGGCGCCAGCAAATTTAAAAAACAAGTGGCACGCGTGCCCTGGCTCTTGCACTAAGGGGCCGCGAGAGACAGGAGGTTTTCGCCCCCTTCCTCCAGGAGTTTATTTTTGTGGCCGCCGGGGGGAGGACGAACGACGAACGAACGACGACGACGAGCGAAAATAAAGAGGTCCGAGCTCTAGAACACAGCTGCGCAAGATAACAAAGGGTCCAGGGCGAGGGGGACTGGGGCCAGGGCCGGGGGGGGGGAAGGCTGGGTCCAGGGCCAGGGCCAGCGGGGCAAGGGGGGCGGGGGGCCAGGGCCAGGGGAGGAGGCAGGGTCCAGGGCCAGGACCAGAGGGACGACGACAAACGAAAATAAAGGGTCCAGGGCGAGGGGAACTGGGGACAGGGCCGGGGGGGAGGCTGGTTCCAAGCCCTGGGCAAGCGGGGCAAGGGGAGCTGGGGCCAGGACCAGGGGGGGAGGTTGGGTCCAGGGTCAGGACCGGACCAGGGACCCAGCGGGGCGAGGGGGGCTCCACGGGGCCAGGACCAGGTGGGGAGGTTGGGTCCAGGGCCAGAGTCGGACCAGGGACGACGAACGAAAACAAAGGGTCCAGCAAGGGGGGGAGTTGGGTCCAGGGCCAGGACCGGACCAGCTGCCAGGGACGACGACGAGCGAAAATAAAGGGTTGCCAGGGCGAGGTGGGCTGGGGCCAGGGCCGGGGGGGAGGCTGGGTCCAGGGCCAGGGTCAGCGGGGCGACGGGGGCTGGGGCCAGGGCCAGGCGGGGAGGTTGGGTCCACGGCCGGGACCAGAGGGACAACGACAAACGAAAATAAAGGGTCCAGGGCGAGGGGGACTGGGGACAGGGCCGGCGGGGGGGAGGCTGGGTCCAGGCCCTGGGCCAGCGGGGCGAGGGGAGCTGGGGCCAGGACCAGGGGGGAGGTTGGGTCCAGGGCCAGGACCGGACCAGGGACGACGACGAGCGAAAATAAATGTCCAAGGCGAAGGGGACTGGGGCCAGGGCCGGGTGGGGGGGAGGCTGGGTCCAGGGCCAGGGCCAGCGGGGCGAGGGGGGCTGAGGCCAGGACGGGGTGGGGAGGTTGGGTCCAGGGTCGGGACCGGACCAGGGGCCGGGGACGACGACGAACGAACGAAAATAAAGAGGTCCGAGCTCTAGAGCACAGCTGTGCAAGAGAATAAAGTGGTCGGGGCGAAGGGGGCGGCGCGCTGGGCTGCTGGGGAGAGGGGGATGGGGGGGGGGCGACGACGACGCCGAAATAAAGTCGTCGGGGCGGAGGGGGCGGTGCGCTGGGGTGCTGGGGAGCGACACATAGCGACACATGTCGACACAACGCCGAAATAAAGTGGTCGGGGCGGAGGGGGCAGCGCGCTGGGCTGCTGAGGAGAGGGAGAGGGGGGGGGGGGGCGACGACGACGCCGAAATAAAGTCGTCGGGGCGGAGGGGGCGGTGCGCTGGGGTGCTGGGGAGCGACACATAGCGACACATGTCGACACAACGCCGAAATAAAGTGGTCGGGGCGGAGGGGGCAGCGCGCTGGGCTGCTGAGGAGAGGGAGAGGGGGGGGGGGGGGGCGCGACGACGCCGAAATAAAGTCGTCGGGGCGGAGGGGGCGGTGCGCTGGGGTGCTGGGGAGCGACACGTAGCGACGCATGTCGACACAGCGCCGAAATAGGGCGACGACGACGCCGAAATAAAGTCGTCGGGGCGGAGAGGGCGGTGCGCTGGGCTGCTGGGGAAAGCGACACATGTCGACACAACGCCGAAATAGGGCGACGACGACGCCGAAATAAAGTGGTCGGGGCGGAGAGGGCGGCGCGCTGGGCTGCCCGGGAAAAGGGCCGGGGGGGGGCGACGACGACGCCGAAATAAAATGGTCGGGGCGGAGGTGGCAGCGCGCTGGGCTGCTGAGGAGAGGGAGAGGGGGGGTGGGGGCGACGACGACGCCGAAATAAAGTCGTCGGGGCGGAGGGGGCGGTGCGCTGGGGTGCTGGGGAGCGACACATAGCGACACATGTCGACACAACGCCGAAATAAAGTGGTCGGGGCGGAGGGGGCAGCGCGCTGGGCTGCTGAGGAGAGGGAGAGGGGGGGGGAGGGGGGCGACGACGACGCCGAAATAAAGTCGTCGGGGCGGAGGGGGCGGTGCGCTGGGGTGCTGGGGAGCGACACATAGCGACACATGTCGACACAACGCCGAAATAAAGTGGTCGGGGCGGAGGGGGCAGCGCGCTGGGCTGCTGAGGAGAGGGGGAGGGGGGGGAGGCGGGCGACGACGATGCCGAAATAAAGTCGTCGGGGCGGAGGGGGCGGTGCGCTGGGGTGCTGGGGAGCGACACACAGCGACACATGTCGACACAACGCCGAAATAAAATGGTCGGGGCGGAGGGGGCAGCGCGCTGGGCTGCTGAGGAGAGGGACAGGGGGGGGGGGCGACGACGACGCCGAAATAAAGTCGTCGGGGCGGAGGGGGCGGTGCGCTGGGGTGCTGGGGAGCGACGCATAGCGGCACATGTCGACACATATCGACATATAGAGACACATATCGACACACACACACAAATCGACGCATAGCGACACACTGCGACACATAGCGACGCACACATGGAGACGCATAGCGACACACAGCGACACATATAGCGGCACATGAAGGGCACAAGGCACACAGCGACACATATAGCGACACATGAAGGGCACAAGGCAGCTGGGGGGGAGCGACGACGACGCCGAAATAAAGTGGTCGGAGCTCTAGACACCCTGTGCAAGAGAATAAAATGGTCGGGGCGGAGGGGGCGGTGCGACGCCGAAGGGCACTGGGCAGCCGGGGGGGGGGCGACGGCGCCGAAATAAAGTGGTCGGGGCGGAGGGGGCGGATGCGTGCGCCGAAGGGCACTGGGCAGCTGGGGGGGGCGGGCGACGACGCCGAAATGAAGTTTCGGGGCGGAGGGGGTTCGGTGCGTGCGAACGCCGAAGGGCGCTGGGCAGCTGGGGGGGGGGGGGGGGGAGGGAGCTTCACGACGCCGAAATAAAGTGGTCGGGGCGGAGGGGGCGGTGCGACGCCGAAGGGCACTGGGCAGCTGGGGAGGGGGGGGGCGACGACGCCGAAATAAAGTGGTCGGAGCGGAGGGGGCGGTGCGACGCCGAAGGGCGCTGGGCAGCTGGGGAGGGAGGGGGGGGCGACGACGCCGAAATAAAGTGGTCGGGGCGGAGGGGGCGGTGCGACGACGAAGGGCACTGGGCATCCGGGGGGGGGGGGCGACGACGCCGAAATAAAGTGGTCGGGGCGGTGGGGGCGGTGCGACGCCGAAGCATCACCACCAGCAACAGCAGCACCAGCAACAGCAGCAACAGCAGCCGTAGCACCAGCAGCAGCACCACCAGCACCAGCAGCAGCACCACCAGCAGCACCACCACCAGCAGCAACAGCACCAGCACCAGCAGCAGCACCAGCAGCACCAGCAGCACCAGCAGCGGCACCAGCAGCACCAGCAGCAGCACCAGCACCAGCAGCGGCACCAGCACCAGCACCAGCACCAGCACCAGCACCAGCACCAGCAGCGGCACCAGCACCAGCACCAGCACCAGCACCAGCACTGGGCAGCTGGGG